AAACCCATATCCCTATCTTGGCACCGGATCACCAGGGTACCCAGTACATAAACCGCAAGGGGTACTTTTCAATGCTGCTGCAAGTCCTGGTGGATCACAAGGGACGTTTCACCAACATTAACGTGGGATGTCCGGGAAAGGTGCATGACGCTCGAGTCTTCAGGAACTCTGGTCTGTTTCAAAAGCTGCAGTAAGGGACTTTCTTCCCAGACCAGAAAATAACCGTTGAGGATGTTGAAATGCCTATAGTTATCCTTGGGGACCCAGCCTACCCCTTAATGCCATGGCTCATGAAGCCATACACAGGCAGCCTGGACAGTAGTCAGGACCTGTCAACTATAGGCTGAGCAAGTGCCGAATGGTGGTGGAATGTGCATTTGGATGTTTAAAAGGTCGCTGGCGCAGTTTACTGACCCGGTTAGACCTCAGCGAAACCAATATTCCCATTGTTATTACCGCTTGCTGTGCGCTCCACAATATCTGTGAGAGTAAGGGGGAGATATTTATGGCGGGGTGGGAGGTTGAGGCACATCGCCTGGCCGCTGATTATGCACAGCCAGAGACCAGGGCAGTTAGAAGAGTACAGGAGGGCGCGCTGAGCATCGGAGAAGCTTTGAAAACCAGTTTCATGACTGGCCAGGCTACGGTGTGAAAGTTCTGTTTGTTTCTCCTTTATGACCCCCCCCCCTTGGTTCACTCTACTTCCCTGTAAGCTAACCACCCTCCCCTCCCCGCTTCGATCAACGCTTGCAGAGGCAATAAAGTCATTGTTACTTCACATTCATGCATTCTTTATTATTCATCACACAAACAGGGGGATAACTGCCAAGGTAGCCCCGAAGGGGTGGGGGAGGAGGGAAGGTCAAGGACACAGTGCACTTTAAAACTTTTAAAACTTATTGAAGGCCAGCCTTCTGTTGCTTGGGCAATCCTCTGGGGTGGAGTGATTGGGTGGCCGGAGGGGGCCCCCCCCCCCGCGGTCTTGGGCATCTGGTGGGTGAGGCTATGGGACTTGGGGAGGAGGGCTGTTGGCTACACAGGGGCTGTAGCGGCGGTCTCTGCTCCTGCTGCTTTTCCTGCAGCTCAGCCATACGCTGGAGCATATCAGTTTGATGCTCCAGCAGACAGAGCATCGACTCTTGCCTTCTGTCAGCAAGCTGACGCCACCTATCCTCTTCAGCCCGCCACTTACTCTGTTCAGCCTGCAATTCAGCCCGCCACCTCTTCTCTCGTTCATATTGTGCTTTTCTGCATTCTGACATTGACTTCCTCCACGCATTCTGCTGTGCTCCGTCAGCGTGGGAGGACAGCAGAAAGTCTGAGAACATTTCATCCCGAGTCCTCTTTTTTCACCTTCTAATCTTCGCTAGCCTCTGCGAAGGAGAAACATTTGCAGCTAGTGGGGGAAAAGGGAGATTGGTAGTTTAAAAGACACATTTTAGAGAACAATAGGATCACTCTTTCCCGTTAAACCTTGCTGTTCACAAGGTTGCATTTTTCCTCTTACATTGAAGGTCTGCCGGTTTGGTGTGAGAGATCACTCACGCAGGGCCAGGCAACAGAATTCGGCTTGCAGGCAGCCATGGTAAGCCACAGTCTTTTGGCTTCTTTAACCTTCATAACATGTGGGAATGGTTTCAAACAGCAGCGCCCTCATGTCCCATACCAAGTGGATGCTGGGTTGGCCATTTAAAATGGGTTGGCAATTTAAAAGGAGGGGCTGGGGTTTGCAGGGTACCATGCAGCACAAACCCAAATAACCCCCCAACACACACACACACACACAATTCTCTGGGATGATCACTTCACCCCTCCCCCCACCGTGTGGCTAACAGCAGGGAACATTTCTGTTCAGCCACACAGCCAAACAGCCGAGCAGGAACGGGCACCTCTGAATGTCCCATTAATAAAAGCACCCTATTTCAACCAGGTGACCATGAATGATACCACTCTCCTGAGGATAACACAGAGAGATAAGGAATGGATGTTGTTTGAATGCCAGCAAACACCAGGACCATACGCTGCCATGCTTTGTTATGCAATGATTCCAGACTACGTGCTACTGGCCTGGCGGGGTAAAGTGTCCTACCATGGTGGATGGGATAAGGCAGCCCTCCCCAGAAACCTTCTGCAAAGGCTTTGGGAGTACATCCAGGAGAGCTTTATGGCGATGTCCCTGGAGGATTTCCGCTCCATCCCCATACACATTAACAGACTTTTCCATTAGCTGTACTGGCAGTGAATGCCAGGGCAAATTAATCATTAAACACGCTTGCTGTTAAACCATGTGTAATATTAACAAAGGTACACTCACCAGAGGTCCCTTGTACGCCCTCAGGGTCTGGGAGCACGCCTTGGGTGGGTTTGGGGGTTACTAGCTCCAGGTCCAGGGTGAAAAACGTATCTTAGCTGTTGGGGAAATAGGTTTCTTCGCTTCCTTGCTGTGAGCTGTCTTCATGCTCTTCATCATCATCTTCCTCACCCCCAAAACCTGATTCCCTGTTGCGTGATTCTCCATTGATGGAGTCAAAGCACACGGTTGGGGTAGTGGTGGGTGCACCCCCTAGCATGGCATGTAGCTCTGCGTAGAAGCAGCATGTCTGTGGCTCTGCCCCGGACCTTCCGTTTGCCTCTTTGGTTTTGTGGTAGGCTTGCCTTAACTCCTTAACTTTCACACGGCACTGCTGTGCGTCCCTGTTATGGTCTCTGTTCTTCATGGCCTTTGAGACTTTTTCAAATGTATTGGCATTTTGTTTACCAGAACGGAGTTCAGCTAGCACTGATTCATCTCCTCATAGGGCGAGCAGATCCCGTACCTCCCGTTCAGTCCATGCTGGAGCTCTTTTGCGATCCTGGGACTCCCTCATGGTTGCCTCTGCTGATCAGATCTGCACTCACCTGCACCTTGCCACGCTGGCCAAACAGGATATGAGATTCAAAAGTTCGCGGGTCTTTTCCTGTCTACCTGGCCAGTGCATCTGAGTTGAGAGCGCTGTCCAGAGCGGTCACAATGGAGCACTCTGGGATAGCTCCTGGAGGCCAATACCGTCGAATTCTGTCCACACTACCCCAAATTCGACCCGGCAAGGCCGATTTCAGCGCTAATCCCCTCATCAGAGGTGGAGTAAAGAAATCGATTTTAAGAGCCCTTTATGTCGAATTAAATGGCTTTGTTGTGTGGACGGGTGCAGGGTTAATTCGATTTAACGCTGCTAAATTTGACCTAAACTCATAGTGTAGACCAGGGCTGAGTCTGCCTTTTTCATTGGTTAGGGGCTGGGGCGGGAGTTTGGGCCCAAAAGTTTCAGCAGCTCCAATGTTAGAGGAACAATGCCAGAGTTATTAGCTTTGGTTCTGGTTCTGGTTCTGGTTCTGGTCTCCCTCCAGCCTACAAAACTGGGAATGGCCAATGCCTGTGAATTCAGGCGAAAAAAGGACCCTAGAGGAGTTAAATGTGGCCACACTTTTGGTGGAGGAGCAATGTGCCGGACCTACCTGGGCTAATATCAGTGGATGGTAGGATTCTAGGTAGACAGACATGCATATAGGCTGTTGTTTTAACAACTTTTTCTCTAATGCTACGTTCCTGCTGCTAAATAAACAGTGCTTTGATTGTTTGGTCACTGGATACCACTCATAAGGGCAGGACAGCGCGTTTTGGCCTTGTCGGTCCTGCTAGGACACAAACAATGGATCCATGAGGGGCTTGGTCTGAGAGCAGGCCAAAGGTACGACTCCACCACAGGAGAGGGAATAGGGATGATCTCTGCATGGATGCACTGAGGCACAGCTAGCCCTGTACCCCACATATCCAGGCGGGGAACCCCATGGGGGAATCCCTCTTTTGCCTTCTCCTAACGGTTGCCCACCATGTCCCCTGCCTAATCTCCAGCAGCTCCCCTCACTCCATAAAGGGCTTTGGGATCTTCCTGGAGAAAAGGTCACAGAACGACCTTTGAATAGTCAGGTTCCCAGGGATGTGATGCTGGACATGTCAGCCAGGATGCTGTGGGGCAGGGTCCTGGGGAGGTGAATGACCAGGCCTTGTGAGATCGGCTGGGATCCACCTCTGCAAAAAGCTAGTGCAAAGTGCCAGGCCCCTCTGGTGAGTGGAAACCCAGAGCTGTCCCTCCCAGCCAGTGAAAGGAAGGGCAGGCTGTGTGTCTGTCTGTGCTAATAATGGCCCATGACATGGTGCACCCAAAGGCAGTGTCAGAGGAGCAGCGAGAGCCCTGTAGCCATGAAAAATGGAAAAACAATGTATTTTCCCCTCCTAGCCTCATTCTCAGCTACCACTGACCCATTTTAGGGAAACTTTCCCCAAAACTTCAGCTGGCGGTGGAAGGCGTTAAACTGTAAATATACGTCCCCAGTTCAACCCGGCCTTTCCCTTTTCTTTCCTGCTGCCAGCAAAGTTTATTCCTTCAAACCTCGGCGCTGGCAAGTGGGTACAGACTTGCCTGGCAAAGGCGCCCAGCGTGGTTACAGGTTCCCAGACAACTGGGGGGCTAGAGCCAAAAGTTAAGAAATTGTAGAGAATCCCCTAAAATAAGGACCTGGCCCTTGTTGATGGTAAAAAGGGGAGCACGTACGCAGCAAAAGTGTAACATGCTTCCTAGAGTGCAAACGTAAGAGGGTAAAGTAGTTTACCTCCCCTAAACCAAGCTCCTTGCATCTCGGACCAATCCCCGGGCCCCCCTCTTGCCAAATTGCTGTCCTTTTGCTTCGGTGGTGAAGAATACAGGGGCTTCCTTTTACCTTCTCCTTCTATCCAGCCTCCCAAAGTCTGTTTGGCCCCAAAGTCAGGAGGATGTTCTCCCCCCCCATGGTTTATTTTCCAGTGTGGTGACCCCACATCTTCGTGTTATCTTTGTATGTAAGTGGGGCATCCATGGGGCTGGCTTACAATGATTAATTTACACGTCCCCAAAGGCAGATGGGCGAATGTACGTCCTTTGTCTGGCAGAAACTTGTCTGTTGATCCTGCCTTTATTCAGACTTGAAAACAAGTTTTTCACATGTACATATTCGTGTAACCCCTCCCTGCCTGACACTTACACATTTCACATGGATATTAATGCCCAGTGCGCTCCCAGTTTGCGTTTGATACATGACAAGACACTGTTTATGGCTAAATACCAGCGGTGTGTTAGGTGCAGCGAGTTTGTCAGGCCTATTAGGTATTGCTGACACAGGGCACTGAACCCTCTGCCAGCTGGTATTGATGAACCTGGGTCTCACACAGTTATTGGAGGTTTTCAAGAGCGGGTTGGACCAATGTCCCTACTTAGAATCTGTGAGAGACGACTGCCCCATTCTGCCATGGGGGGTGGGTGGGTGGCGTGTCTGGGCCATGCTGCAGCCCCGTCACCTTAGTCGTCACCAGGGCCGGCTCCAGGCACCAGCCCAGCAAGCAGGTGCTTGGGGTGGCCAAGGGGAAGGGGCGGCATGTCGGGCTGTTGGGCGGCAATTCGGGGGCAGGTCCCTCTCGGAGGGAAGCACCTGCCGCCGAATTCCCGCAGAAGAAGAAAGCGGCGTGGTGGAGCTGCCGCCGGAGTGCCGCCGATCGCAATTGTGATCGCAGCTTTTTTTTTTTCCCCCCTGCCGCTTGGGGCGGCAAAAACCCTGGAGCCGGTCCTGGTCATCACCCCAGACTGGGGTGGAGGGGAGGCACCAATCAGATCAGGGGAGCCTCATCAGACTGCTCCTCAGTGTCATCCCCCTGCTCCCTTTGGCCGGTGGTGGCCTCAGCCCTCGTTGTATCCCTCTGAGCGATATTCCCACCGACTCCCCCACCCACGCCCACGCCTACACACATCCCAGCCACAGCGCCCACTCCAGCACCAATGGCTGCCGCCTTAGCCATACCAAGGGCAGCAGCGGCGATCCCAACTCCAACAGCTCCGCTCACCGGTGCCAGGACCACCACCCCCGCGCCAACGCCCGCCAAAATGGCAAATTTCTTGAAGTGCTTCCCGTAGGTCTCCAGGAAGGTCTCAGCCTCCTGTGTCAGCTCCTCCTCCAGCTCTGTCAGCCGGGCCTCTTTCTCCAGCGCCGGCTGCTGCATGTCCGTCCGGCACCGCCGCAGCAACTGCTTGCGCCGCTCCGCGAACTGCTCCACCATCTTGCTGGGCTGCACCTTCAGGCAGTCGATCATATTCTTGGAGTTGTCGTCCTGCGCCCGCCGGGAGAGGAGATGGCCAAGAGCGTTAGCTGTGGGAAGGGCTGTACAGACCTGACCTGAGATTGGGGCTCACATCACACTGGGCGCTGCACAGACCCGGCCTGAGTCTGGGGTCATGTCACACCGGGCGCTGCACAGACCCGGCCTGAGTCTGGGGTCATGTCACACCGGGCGCTGCACAGACCCGGCCTGAGTCTGGGGTCATGTCACACCGGGCGCTGCACAGACCCTCACCAAGTGAGATCAGGGCTCCCATCGTGCTGGGCACAGCACAGATTCCCTGACTGAAATTGGGCCCCAGTCATGCGAAGTGCTGCACAGTCCATCCCCCCGCCCCCGACTGACACGGGGGCCCCCATTATGCTGGGTGCTGCACATGCCTCCGGATCGAGATCGGGCTGCGATGGCGCTGGGTGCTGCGCAGACCCTCCGACTGAGATTGGGCTCTCCCTTGTGTGAGGGTTGGAGTCTCCCATCTCTGCAGCCACCCTGGGAGCTGGCGATATGAACTCCCATCTCCTGCTCCAAAGCCCAGAGCCCGTGGGGCTGGCCAGGAAGTTTCCCTGGGGTTCCCCTGGCTGGGGACACAGCTGCCCCCTTGGACTCACCTTCTCCTTCAGAAAGAGAGCGTGGTCTGAGCGGGCTCTGTCCAGGACTCTCTGGTTGTGGAAGGTGACGGCCATCTGTGCAGGGAGGACACGGCTGGGGTGAGCCGCAGTTTGTGGGGCCCTGTCACCACCCAGTGGCTGCAGCTCCCACCGCAGCAGCCTCACGTAACAGAGCGACGTCACTAGCTGGGGTGGCAGCTGCTTGGGGCTTCCGGTGCCGCCGGTCTCCAGTTTGTTCCTCACGGCAACCCAGTCTCAGCTCCCTTCCCCGCCCCGACCTGCACTTTGCCAGAGAGCGCATCCATGACACCAGCTCTCACGGGTCTGGTGGTATTTGGGGTTTTTTTGGATCTCCAGGAGGCAGGTGGTTTGGGTGTGAATCTCAGCCCTTTTTTTGGTGCGGGGGAGGAGTATTGCTCTGGGCTGGGTTAACTCTTGTGGAGGAGCAACTGTTGGCCTGAGACCTGATCAACCTCCCATATTAAACCAGCCTTGGGTGAAACTCAGGGATATCACCACTAAATACTAAAAAAAAAAAAAAAAAGATAGTTACTAG